GGAAAGGTTTGTTGCAGAAGTGACCTGTGACTCCCACGCTCAGCACTTTCTGCAAAAAAGGGAGGAGGGACAACAGGAATTCCTGTGTGCGTGGTCTCAGCACACTGAGCAGCCATCTCTGGGTAAGAGAGTCAAAGCAGGAAAGAGAGAGGCTCACCCTGTTACAAGAAGAGAAGGGCTGGAACTAGAAATGCAGGGCTAAGAGAAGGTTGGATAGAAATGTGTAGGAATGGAGGAGGGGAAATGGAGGGGTACCGACAGTCAGAAGTGGATACATGTGGGTGACAGACAGCCCTAGTCACTTTCTCAAGAACATCCTGCCCCTATTCTGCACCTCTCCTACGTGCTCCTGAGGCTACAGAGATCCTTCCGTTCCCTCCCCTTTTAGAATAATGTTCATAAAGCAGGGCTCGACTTTCTCCCAGGTATGTTGGATTTTGAAGAGCAAAGCGGGGGATGTATTACAGGAAATAAGCAACTGAACATGCTTTCCAATGCCAGAGGCCTTGGCAGCAGGTTCTGGTACTTTCTGAGATGTCAGCCAGCCCTGAAGGAGGAGGCAGTATGTTGTTCTGCATTTCTATCTAGTCCAGGAATCCTGCGTATGGATTCCAGGTAAGGAGCAGCTTCCTGCAAAGGCAAAGGTCATTTGGCTCAGTGGGATTCTGTACAGGGAAGACTCAAAGAAAAAGCCTAACTCGGACAACCTAAATGTTCCCACCAGTCAGCAGGGTCTCTTGTGAAACTTATTATGCCAGGCTCAACACAGGACATTATGTTTAAAGACTTGTTTGGAGAATAAGCTGTTGATGACTGTTTTACCTCTTTGGCACATGGAGGTCTCTGCAAGAAACTGCTTGTGGAGAAAGAAATTGGGGATGTAGATAGAAGAACTAGACAAGGGGAGAGACAGTGGAAGGAGTCTTGGGAATGAGAACTTTACCTCAAATAAGTTTATTGCAATGATTATCTACAGTATATGAACAAACATGGTGAAGCAAACTCTGGACTGTGTGCTCTGTCCCCATGGGGAGAAGCTGAGAGCACAATGCAAACCAGATGTTTGTCATTTTGTTTGATGCATCCCCTGAAAAGTGCTCAGACAATATGGCCATGGAGCAGAGTCTAGGAACAGGCACTGAACATGATGGGGAGTGGCAGAAGTGCATTCCTTCCTATAGGAGATGCAGGTTTCAGGTACAAAATGTGCTTTAAAAGCACTCGAATGAGGCACCCTGGAAAACCTTCCTGCTCCAAAGCTTTCTTTACTTCTTTTAATTTTGTGTTCTTCTCTTTTTGACTGAAGATAAACAAGAGCCTATGAAGACTCGTACCTCCCTCCTCCCTCACAGATGGAAGGCTCCAAGGAAAAAATCATCCTGAATATTGGGGGAGTCAGATATGAGACATACAGCAGCACCCTCCGGACCTTCCCAGGGACCAAGCTCTGCAGCCTAACAGAGCCCCATGCCCCAAGCATCTACGACTATGATCCCACCACCAAAGAGTTCTTTTTTGATAGGAGTGCTGAGATCTTCAGCTACGTGTTGAACTGTTATAGGACCAAACATTTCCACTGCCCCATTGATATCTGTAGGTCAGTCTTAGAAGAAGAGCTGGCTTTCTGGGAAATAAATGAGACACAGCTAGCATCCTGCTGCTGGCTGAAGCTGAATAACAAAGAGGTGCAGCCAGAGGAGTTTAACATTTGCGATGAAAATGAACAGACTGATGACCAGTGCCTCATAGTCCAGACAGAAAGAAGGGATTTCAGCTGGCGAACCAGGTGGCAGCCAAAGATTTGGTCTATATTTGAAAAACCTTTTTCCTCTTTCTGTGCGAAGGTAATGTCCATATGTGGAGATGGACACAGCCTGTGTCCTTTGGAGTGGGTCTATGAAAAATGCTAATGGGTTCATAGCTTTGATAAGTATGCTTTGAGTCCCAGATTAAAAAAGAAGATAAAATTCTCTCTTCTCATTAACACACACCTCCTTCTTCTCTCCTCCTCTTGTCCCTGTTCTCTGTATAAAATGCACGTCCTGTGCCTCTTTAAAATGTCAGGCATGCAGAACAACAAATGCAAGTCAGAGGCTGCAGAGGATGTTTTCTGTGCTGGTGGTATTTCTGGAGCCAATATTTAGTGCTGAAGAGGCCCTCAGTGTGAGCCTGTCCACATTACTCCAGCTGTCAGACATTTCCCCTTCCTTACAAACTGATGTTCAGGTGTTTTTTTCTTTCACTCCAATCTTCTCTATTATTTTTCAAATCTGGAAGGAGAAAAATGCACTCCATGTGAACAAAACAATGGTGATTTGAGAAAGATTAGTCTGGGATTGTACTGTGCCTGTGGAGAGGATCTTGGGGTTGTGGTGGGGCAGTGAGGTTATATGATACTTGTTTGTTGGACTAATTGCATGTGTGCCCTTTCATCCCTCTGCAGTGCTTGGCTTTTGTTTCTCTGCTGTTCATCGTTGGAATTGTCATCATATTCTGCGAGGAGACCAAGGCACAATTTGAGTTCTTCACCTCTGTCGGCTCTTCTGAGGTCTCCCATGATGACCATGAACGCTATTACCACCAGGCTGCCTACTTGCTTCATCTGGAGCTTTTCTGTGTCCTCTGGTTTACTTTTGAGTTCTCTGTGCGATTTTGTTTCTGCCCAGACAAGAAGTTGTTCTTCCAAAATCCCCTGAATGTGGCTGACTTCCTCTCCCTCTTCCCAGTTTATATTGAACTCTTTGTGGCGGGGCAGATTCAGAGAAAGCCAAGCCTGGGGCTTTGGTTGGGCTTTGTTCGCATTGTCTATCTCCTCAAACTCCTGAAGATATCCAAGCTGATAGAAACGCCACTGATCCTCAGGGTTCTGTGCTACACCCTCAAGTCTATCCTTAGAGAGATTTGCATCCTGCTGATGATTTTGGCCTTTGAGACCCTCTTCTTTGGCTCTCTCTTTTTCTATGGGGAGTTGCTGGGTAGCCATCCCTCCTACACAGGGGAGCTGCACTTCACTGACATTCTTGTTTGCTTCTGGTGGGCTTTGATCACACTCACTACAGTGGGCTATGGAGATATTCTCCCTCTCACTACAGTTGGCCAAGTGACGGCAGCCTTAGCTGCGGTATTTGGCCTGTTAACTATTATCATCCCAATACCCATTTTCCTGGTGAAATTTAAAAGCTATTATGACATTGCTATCTTCAAACAGAAGCTGAAAAGAAACAAGAAACATTAACACTTCAGAACCTCTGTTCCCCTTTGCCTTTAGCAATAAACATTCAGCATGGTTTATTCCCTTTGGTGGGAAGGGAGTGCAAATAGTTCTTACTGCACTTACTTGCTGCCTTAGCATATTCCAAACTATTGGTGAGGCCTCAGTTGCAGTACTTGATATACAACTGATCAGACCTGTTGAATCCCATGGGTCTTTCCCATATGGTACTTCCTCCCATGCTCTTTTATGTGCCACAGTTTCTCATCTAGCTGTTTGGAGACAGGCTGTGATGCTGCATTATAGCCTGAACGTGCACAACATAGCCCAGTTCCATTACCTGGGGCCACAGCACGTTCCCTCAGCTGGCATACAACCCATGATGCTAGCTATGCCCTCCACCACCTGACAGACCATAATCTCATTTTGCATGCTGGGAGAGAAGATTTGTACACAGTCTGGCTCTGACAGGGAAGAGGAGGCATGGATATATCTTTTTTAAACAATGTTCTGTTTCCTCATTTTACCTAAACAAGCCAGTACATCTGATTTGCCTGCACTCACACATTGATGTAAAGAAGGCAGCAGGCTGAACTGAATATCTATGGTCCTGAGAGCCAGCACTGTTTGGTCATAGAATCATAGAATCACTTAGGTTGGAAAAGATATTGATAACCTGCTTTGCGGGCTCACAGGAATTGCTGTGGCATTCGGGTAGCAGCAAGGGAGCCCTCCAACAGCAAATCCTTTTTGGCTCTGCTGAAGTCAATGGCCTTGACCTCAGTGAGATCAAAATTTCATTGGACACTTCCAGTGGATCAACACATTTCAACAGTTCTTGATTTTTATGTAACCAAGTCACCAGGCTATTAGCCAAAATATCTATATGGTTTTTGCTGTTCAAAAGGAAGAACATAATCGACAGTACTCAATATAATTTTAATGTCATTTACTTTCTTAAGGCATAGATATAGACTAGGAAGATTTATCTTTTAACTGGATAGTCTTAATTGTTACCTATGTTTAATTTTGAAATAACAAATATTGTTGAGGTATGAAAAAAACCCACATTCCATTGTTTATATAGCAGGATGATGTGCTAATATTATTTTGTTTAGTAAGTAAGAATTTCTGTATACAATAACATTTATGTATTTAAATTTCATTAAGGCTGTATTTTAATTGCAACTTTGATTAAGTTTTGTCTGTCACTATGATTTTTCTGTTCAGGATAGCATTTTAAGGCTGCTTTATTTTTATTGCAACACCAAGTAAGTTCCCTCTATTCCAATGCAATTACAATGAATTAGTTTTTGCCTAAAGAGAAGGAAAAACCACTGCAAACATTTCAGGCACAAAGCACATGAGAAGCTGGAGACACCCTGGCAGTGGAAGGAAGGTCTAGGTGTTCTCCTGCACCCACCTTTGCTATTCATAGAGTGGAGGGGGTGAGCAGGATGCATGCTGGTGCATAGGAATTTTTCTTAATTAGATTGAAGTGGTGCTATGTTTTCTGTGGACATATATCATCTTCTTGGAAATTCATATAATTTGCAACAGTTTAACAGAGATTTACCAGGTCTCTTCTTGAGTTTTCCCCAGTCTAGGAAAGGGTCCATGATATAATCATAGGCCATGACCCCGTTTTAAGACTCCAAGTCAAATCCACTGGAAGAGTTAGATCTTACTGGCTGCAAAGTTAGGAGGTGGTTCAGAATGCTGCAGTGCTTATTTCTTTGTTTAGCCAGCTCTGTTGGTGTACATCCATTTTTCAGCAGATGCTTCACAAGAGACAGATTTTCTGCAATTGAGGGGAGCAGCCTTCACTGCTGCCCCCAGAAGAGGGTGCTCTGTAAATGCGCATGGCAGTCCCATTGCTGCACAGGAAGCATGATGTGAGCATCAGAACAGGGTATTACACTACTCTCTGCAGCACGACTCCATTTAGATCCAAATGTACGTTCCTGTCACATCAGTTAGTGTCCACTCCTGTTGGTCATAAAAACAGCAGTTACAGCAGCAACATTAAGCCGATGTCGATGTGACAGAGGAGCTGTAGTTCCTCTGGATCAAAGGATCTAACCCTGCTGAGAACTCAGCACTGGTTTTATCAGAGGAAGAATATGTACTGTAAGCTCAAAAAACCTGCATGGAGTTGGTGGCAAGCAGAACTGGTTAGATCAGCAGTTGTTCTGTTAAAGAGCAGTATACGGAAAATCATCATGTACAAAGTGTTGGCAAGCTTTAGTTGGATTTCAATGCCTTGCTCATGATCTTCATAATGTATATGTTATGGTATCCTTGGGGAAAGAG